TTAAAAGAAATAAAATGTTATACCACTGCCTGGCTACGAAGTTTTAAAGTAAACGTTTCGTAAAATAATTGGATTAATTAAAGGATTCATTTTTTTGTGAGAGGTGGTAACTCATAGCTAACAGTAAATAGTGAAACAGACTGCCAAAGTAAAATTAGAATAAAAGGAGAAACAATGGCGTTTATATAGAAAGAAAGTTATAGAAAGGAGGGGTGAAGCAGAAGAAAGAATAAAGCACTAGAATTAAAGAAAAAGTGATAAAACGCGAATTTGTATATACCAGAGACTGTGATAAGAGCCTGTAAATCTCACAACTAAACTGTAACGCTGTAAATTTATAAAAGAAAAAATTAAAAAATAAATTGAACTTAAAATGGATACCATCAGCAGTGTAAGAACACAACATCCGTCAGTGCCTACTACTCCCAGCAGCGAAAGTCACATCAAAATGATAAACTTCGCACCTCCATCACCCGCCTCTTCCATGAGTTCTGAATCGCAGGATGTGTTGATAACGGCGACAACTGGTCCTTGTTCGCCTACAACGCCGTCAACAACACGACTGCTTCACAATCATGACAGCGAAGATCACTTTTGTACACCCAAGAAATCGCTGGCTGACTCTGGCGTGTTGGAGCGCATACGGGAAAAGCTTGGCACGCCTGGTGCCGCTTGCGAAATACATGCCTTGCGCCTGGAGCAAGGTGGAGAAGAAGAGACTGTGAAAGTGATTAAAAATCGATTTCTAATAAGTACGCAGGTGTGTCATATATCACCAGCAGTTGCGGCCAAAACACCCGCCTCTTATCGCCATCTAATCGATCTGACTGCGTCTAGCCTTAAATGTACCGATGTCTTTACGGACGAGGAATTTATTTGTAAGATTATCAATGAACCTTATGGTAAAGTGCAACGTGCCTACTATGAAATAAAAGGGGCTGGCGAAGTGGCGCGTAGCTCCATTTTTGGCCATACACTAATACGTGACATACACGACATTGTGCCAATGGATAAGCAACGCACCTACCTGATAATTGCACCCCCAAAGACGGATGAAGGAGCGGAAGGCGTCTATGAGGATCTGCATACGTACATAAGAAATAAAAGGCGATTATGTGAGAAGGAGGCGCGGGCGCTGTTCCATCAAATCGCGGAAACCGTGCGACTTTGCCATCGAAAGGGAATAATTTTGAGGGACTTGAAGCTCAAACGATTCTTCTTCATCGACGAGGCGAGGTATGTATAAACTCTAATTATTTTAAGGTTATGATTGGGGAATGATTAGAACGATCCGTACCTATGTGTTTATCAGCCCACTGGTCAATTAGTAGCGCAAAATTAGCTGTGTTTAAAAGAGAAAGGATATGTATCACTGCTTTTTTCTGCAACACATTATTTATCAACATTTTATTTTAACATTTCAGCATACCGGTTAAAAATTTAATTTTTCACAAAATGTGCCTAGTAATGGTCATTGTAACAGAATCATTAATCATTAACGAAAATAATCGTTGATTTCTCATTTTATTTAGTAAATTGCCACAGCATAAATCACTTGCCTAATTTAATCTGAAATGTCAACATAAGCGTCAAGTAACCAGTCAACAATCTACCACAAATTAAAGCCGCCTAAAAAATCTTAAAAATACTTTTACAAACGTCAAAGTCACCGTCGTGTGGAGCAAACTCCACACATGGTATAGTTGTCAATTCTTGCCAAACCTTCAGTTGCGTTTATGTTCTGCTATTTAACTGAACCCCTTTACACCCATTTGCCTTATCGCTCCTCACCAGACACTTATTTACTAGTTATGTGCTGAATTGTCGATACCCAATACTTGAAAAAATGTCGGTACCCAATACTTCCTTTTCGATACATCAAAGAGATACTATTCGAGTGACGAAAACATTCAGATCCAAATAATTTGAAGAAATATATTTTTGGCCAAAAATGAATGAATGAAAATTTAACCATTCCTATTCTATGCGTGCTTAATATTTTTAGATACTATATTTTATTATTTTATTTTATTGGTCCCTAGATTCGGCTATTCATAGGCAGGGCTCCCCTGAACTGCTTTTACTCCATATTTTTGGATGCTGTGCGACAATATTAGAAATTGCAACATTTCGGTACCGAGTTTCGAAAGTATTGGACACTTTTTGAATCGGTACCGAGTATCGATCAATATACAAAAGTATCGACTCAGCGCATCACTATTATTTACTACTGCTTGGTTTTAGCACTATTGTTTTTATTTTATTTTTATTTTATTTTTTTTTTCAAAATACTAAATTTGGTAATCCATGGATTGCGTGGAGAGCCAGTGAGGGAGTAATGACATAAATGGAGCTACCTACTGTTGTTTTACAGTTGCTTAACAGTCCCCAATGTACGGTGTTGATAAATGATTGCGGTGTTTTGCTCTCAACACGAAGCCATACATTTAATCTTTTGTTTTTTTTTTGTGTTTACGGGGAGATAAAGACTTGTGGCCTTAGGACATACATACATATGTACAAATATATATATATGTACACACACTTGTATGCATACATTTGCGTTAATAATTTTGCAATGCGCGCTGCTGTGTGCAAAAGCCAAATCGGAAAACCAACAGCCAACTCACAGCGCATGGAGCTCTGTTAAAAAACTCGTTATTGCCATTAACGCGAGCAAACTTGACTCGACGAACGTCGTTTTCGAGCCTCTTCGCGCGCACTGTTCCGAACATAATAGCAATTGCAGTTCTCCTCTCCTCCCCACAACTACTGGGTACGCATTCGCAATAACATTGAATAAGATTTACAGACAGACGGATGGTGTTTGTGGGCGCAGCGCAGCCCAGCATAGTTGGGGCAAAAAGGCGTGTGAGCGACACAGCCGAACTGCGCTCAATGCAATTGTGTGGTGCAATGCACACTGTGCTTATTGCAGCACCAATAACAGCTTTAGGCACTGAAATGCAATGCAATGTTGGTTTGGTGTTGTTGATGGAGGCCATTTATTAAGCTATGTCGTTGTTGTCGTTGTTGTTGTTGTTGTTGTTGTATGTCTGTAGAGAGCGGCAACTGTTTGATAATCAATGCTGAGGATTTATTATGCCGCCATTATCGTGGAGGCAGCAGCATTGTGCCAAGGCGCACGTGCTGTGTGTAATGTGCGTATACGCATGCAACAACAAGGACAACATACATAAGTTGCAGACTTTTTTCTGCTGAGAGCACTAAATTGTGCAAGAATTCACTGAAATTCGTGCTCGAAAAATTTAAATGTTAGTCATTTATCATTGAAGGCAATTTATTTACAAGACATAGCCGACAATCGAAAAAATGTACGAGTATTTATGCATTTCCAAACACATCGAGCAGCTCGCAAATTGCCGCATTTTTTTTTATATACATATGCATAGTATGTATTTGATTGTGTGCGTATGTACATATGTATGTATGTATATAGTACACTAGGGCAAATGAGGTGTGCCCCCACAGCACTGGTAACAAATCGTCTGCGTCACTGCTACGCAATTTTGTTATTGCACATGCACACTAAGCGACATAAGTACTCATACGGTAAACAGGTAAGTCTTTTATTTCGAAAACAATAGAGGTATGCAAAAATTTTCATGTATTCTGAATGTCGCAGAATCAGTTTTGAGCCATGGTACAATAATTACAGTTATTGCCTTCCCAGAGAGCGCATATTCCGATCTGCCTTATTTGAAACATCATTGTTGCCCACACTAAAAGGTTTACTGATAGGGAGCAGGGATATTTCCATAGCCCATATACCATACATGTATTTACACGATTTTTTTAAACAAACCTTTGGCAAAAGCCAAAAAAAAACCATTTGCTTAGTAACTAAATTCAAAATTTGTATGGCTCTCTTCATCCCAACGTTTTTTCTTTTGATTTGAAAAAGTATAAAAATTAAATTGAGCGAAAACCAAAAGCAAAGCCAACTAAAAGTAAAAGAATCAACATTGATATGCACCAAAATGAAAATAAGGGAGGACGAATTTCGATTTGAAGCAAAACTCCTGGGAAGACAGTACCCGTAACTTTCGTAGGTATAATGGTTTTGAGCACGATTCTATATTTTTTGGGGAATTCAATAGCTTGACATTTCGAATATAATTAAAGCACTTCATTTCTGAAAAAAAAAGTGTAAATGTCTAAATGATTTTGGTTTTAGTGTAGTTTGATTTTAGCTTAGGTTTTTACAACTTAAAAAAAAAAAAGAATTACCCTACCCGGAATTGGCACTTTTAGTTTTTGTTTGGCTAATTTTGTGGCACACTGTATACAAAAACTGTTGACTTGTATTTTTTGGGCGCTAGTCTCACTTTTATTGGTGCTTTTAATATGCCGCAATTATTATGGTGAGAAATATGTAGTAGTATTTACTAGTTGTTGAAATCATTCAAAAACTGAGTTGATCAAGAGCAGCAAATGAGTTGTTTGAGTAGATAAAGAGCGCGCTGGAGAGTGTGTGATGAGTGGTTTTCAAGATCATTACGAAATGTTGATTAGCTCATTTTTTTATGAAAACAATCTTTAATGGTTTCAAAATATTTTTGGTGTACCTAAAGACTGACGATAAAATATTTCGAAAAAAAAATTCAACAATTAAAAAAAAAATACTATATAAATAAAAATTTGCTGGGAAATATTGGAAAAAGAAATTATTGAAAATTCTTATCTTAATATTGTTAAAGATGAATAATATAATTCGGCGAAAATTTGAAGTAAACAAATTTTTAACTTAATCTACTTAAAAAATTAAATTTAAAATAACTACAGCTAAAATGAATTTTTTTTTCTATTTTTTTCCTCACAATTTGCCAGTATTTCAATTTACAGCAATTTTATTGTATTTTTCACATTAACCCTTTCCCATTGTTATCTCTTCGCACCCATTTTTAAAGTGGTGTAGTAACACAAAATCTGCAATCAGCATTTCGGGATTGTCGCAAGCGCGCGCTGGTTATTTCCCAGCGCAACAGCTTTTGTGTAATGTGTATACACTGCAATGCAATACACCTCAGCATTGCTCGCTATCCGGCAATTAATACAACCACCCACCCAATTCACACACAGTCAAACACACAGACACTTGCGCTCACACACTCTGGTATCTAGCCAGTGGCCAACTACGAACCTACAAACCGGTCGGTCAAACAAACAAATATCTGTTCGCCGCTGAATTGCTTTAGGCCAGTAATTTTAAAACTCGCTCAGCAGTTAGACAAGTTGAGTCACTCACCCACCGCAGGCTGCTTTGGTGGCTGTAATATTGTCGCAACATTGACTGTTTTTTTTTTTTTTGTTGGCGCTCCTAGAGAGCTGTGTGTAGCTTTTATGAGTTGGTTAAGCAAAAAGTAGTATGTAGCAACAACAACAGAAAATAGACAAGATTGTGCTCTTTATTAATGGTTTACATTTGTCTAAAGTAAGTTGTAATGTACAATAGGAGCTTTGGTGGCGTTTCTTCAAAAAAAAAAATAAAAATACGTTTAATGATACAACAAACATTTTTTACAAGAACAAATCCTCCATTTTTTTGAATCTTTTCGTGTGATTGCCACACACACTCACTTTGCTCACAAACTACTTGTCATTTACACTCAGCAGCGCAAAAAAAAGAACATATGAAACATTGAAAATGTTGCTAACATTGCCGCAACAGCTGCAAGAGCCGCCATTCTTGTTTGGCTACACTATACGCTGTTGCCATGCCGTGTTTAAGCAACATGCTGCTGCTTGTTATTGCGACAAGAATTTTTGCGATTGCGAATGCTGCAATTCTTGTTCTAGTTATTAACATCGTGCATACATACATAGTTGATTTGATCGTTTGGTTGTTGCTGTTGTTTAGCACCAATAACGCAATCAGCTTGACTTGTTGCCAGCAATTTCAATGCTTTATTTTCTTGTGTCGATTTTTCGTCCGCCTTGCGCTTGTGTTTTTGTTGTTTTTTGTTATAGTTTTTGTTTTGCCGGTTTTTTTGTTTTTTTTTTTCTTTCGTTTTGCCTTTACCAATTTTTATACTTTTGGTGCCATTGCCATTGCAATTTGTAAATTGCTAGCGTTTTCCGCTCTTCTGAGTACTGTTGCTAAACACAGACAATGCCTTTGTTGCTGTTGTTGTTGTTATTGCTGGCGTTTAGTGTGGCTGCCACTGTCAGTGCTGCTGGCTGACGGCAGCCGTTAGCAGCAATGATGACCATCA